TAGTCTTAGGGTGGTACAATGGACTCGTACGACAGGACGCATCATCGTACGACATGAAAATACTCGTGCAACACTCGTTCGGGGTCTTACGAGTGCGTGCAAAGTCGCACAACACTCGTACTACCTGTCGTGCAATTATTTTTCATCGCGTCAGTCGCTCAAAATATCGGAGCAGCACGGGTTTTTTTCCCGACCGAGATGCGACCATTTTGTCGCATCTGGATCGTACAATAAGTGGTACAACGGCTACAACGAGTCGTACAACGGGAAAAATTTCGAGTCGCAAGCCGTTGTAGTCTGTTTGGCAACAATTGTGAAAGGGGCTTTAGAGCACGTACAGGACAAAACATTGACTGGCAAAGTCGGAACTTCTTTTTTCCGAAAAGAAAAAAATTAGTGATGATCGCGAAAACTAACGTGACCGCGAAGAAAATCCAGACGAGATTTCCTTCGCGGGCACGCTAGTTTTTGCGATCACGCTAATAATACTAATAATACTAAATTGACAATTAATTAGTCCCGACTTTGCCAGTCTAGACAAAACAATACAACACTTGTGTTTATTACTTATATGACTAAATTGATGACTTCCTTACGTAAGCTTGATGACTCCATCCTGGACGCTGTATTCACAGTATCTCCAAATAGGCAGTATCGAGGCATTTTCGATCCTACTACACCAGCTGCACATGGACCTAAAGATCAGATACATTAACGGTGAACATTGTGTTTTAACGCTTGAACGCATGTTCATATATAAATAAATTATTCAAATGTCCAGTGGTGTCTGTGTGCGTGCCAATTTCAATGTTAGATGATACGCATTCAAATCAATGGCTAACAAACGTTTCAATTCGCATCATTGTATTGGTCCAGTTTCAGCTCTTGTACAGATGTAGATTTGAGTGTAGTAATTATATGATAAATTTCAGACCTAATGAATACATTGTCTTTTAACAGAAGCATTGTAACCGTCATTAGAACTCAATTAACGTTATAACTCACCCGTATGGATACCTATTCTCAGTTTCAGTTTGTATTGAGGTTTGTGTGGGACTCGGAAAACGTCCATGTCAGCCATCAGATTCAGAGATAATGAGGCAATTTCACCTACATGGCGATCGTTATTTCTGAGTGGCATGCCACTGACGACCATATACGCGTCGCCGATAGTTTCTATTTTGTAAACATCGTAGTGATCTATTTGCGCATCGAAATGCAAGTACAAGGCGTTGAGAAGATCAACAACCTGCATCGGCTGAGAAGATGCTGCCAGTGAGGTGAAATCGACGATGTCACTGAAGAATATTGTTACACTGTCGAATACTTCAGCTTTCACTGGCTGGTTCGATTTCAGTTGAATTGCCACACTTTTTGGTAGCATTTGATATAAAAGAGACTCGGTGCGCCGTTTTTCTACTTCAAGTTCATTTGTTTTGCTAGAGAGTTTTGAGGCGTAGTTTTGGATATTCGCGACCATACGATGTGTGAAGATAACAAGTATCGGCAAGATTGTTAGCACTGCAACTAAGATGACCGCCGCGAGGATTACCGACGCTTTAGCCTGCTGAATAATGTTGTTCAACTCGATAAGGATATTGTCATAAATGTTTGTCTTGACGTCATTTAACAAGTCCAAGTAGATGGTCATATTATCGAACCACAGCAAACCGTCTTCTGCACGGACTCCCGTCGCATTATTAGCCACAATCAACGCACGAGTGTTCAAAATACTAGCAAATACGTCAGAGTAATATCGACTAAAATTAGTGTACACGTTCTGCATTTCAAATGTATATCGAAACACAGTGTTCAAGTGATCAAGTTCAAGAGCATGAACTTGCAGAAACTGTATGTGCTGCGTTCCGGACAGGCCTGGTTGTGAGTAAAACTGACTTCCAAGTCCTCTTCCCTGACTCGCCATCTCTGAACATTTAACCATGAGTTGATAAGCCATTAGAGCCCTCCAAGTATCGGCGTTGCCCGCACTCTCGACATGTGTTGTCAACCACTGTATAAACCCGTCAATTGCTTCAGTGTAAGATTCGAAAAGTTGATTTGCTGAAATATTGTCATCGTCCATACTATTTCTAGATCGCATAAGAAATAAGGCAAACTCTTCTTTGGTTCGAAAGTCTGGATTTGTCGTGTCATGTTTATGAAACCAAACTGGTATAGAATTCACCAACAAATCTGTCTTCGCATATGCTTCATATAGACGGGAAAGAGAAGGGGATTCAGCCCGTCTCTTGTAAAACGCAGATAAACCCCTCTCTCTTTGTAAGGAGTATATTAGATCACTCACCAGTACGCTTTCTTCAATGTGGTTCTGGGTTTTGCGTGCAGTTTCTTCAGTGCTCATAGTGCTATGCAAACTAAAACTAGTCTGTACCAGCAGGAATGCCATAGGCACCAGTGGAAGCGTTAACATCACTGTCATCTGAAATAATTTCCCGCTTGGTGTGAAGGGACGGACATCGCATTTCCCTGTCTTAATGGCGGAAAAACTACCGCTATCTGAATCAACGGAGTCCCTATCCGTCATGGCGCGGCTACAATGCTTCCACAAGTTGTACCCACTGAAATGTAATGATGTTCACCTGTAATGACCGAGGCTTGTCTATGATTATTATATTAATACTCCTATTGCCAATCAATATGTATTGCCGTTGTCTCACGTGATACATAATCGATTGGTGATATTGACGATGTTCTTCATTCTCTAAAAACACAGGCATGTCCTGAAAACTTGATTCTGTGCGTGACAAATATGAACTAACGCTGGTACATAAACAATTGAAGAAGATCTAATTGTTATACTGAATTTGTTGTATGCAGGCCATGGAATACTAAAAGCGACACAAGGCACGAATAATGCGAATACCATTCATAATAGACGTCACGATCAGAAATTGTATTTAATAGCTGTTTCCCGAGGTATTACTTTAATATACCCCCCTATCCCCCAGGGTGTAACTACAAGATTATTAAAATAATGACTTTGACATTTGTCTCAGGAACACACAGGTTGCTTCATTGTTTTCAAAGCAAAGAGTTATTTGAACTAAAGAGTACTTTCAACTCGAAGTAACGGGCTTGTTGTCCGACTCTGTAAAAGAACCTATCAGTTTAATCCTTTGCAAAAAATATGTACATTTCTAGTATTCAACAAATAAACATTAATGGATTTGTATAAAGTGTGTATACAAATAATGTACTGCTGTTTTCTTGTATGTATGAGTTTTGTATACACAAAATGTACATAATTTCAAAAAAGTATACTTTTTGTACATATGTATCCCACAATCATCTCCCATACAATGTGATGACGACCAACAACACGTTTTGTCGCGAAATAATACTTTTGAGTATCCAGATGTGATGAGTTAACATTCCAATTAATAAAACAGATCTCACGTGACATCGAAAGCATCGTTTGATTAACAAATTACACAGCCCCGATATACAGGTTTATGTACGACAACCATCAAATGACTATAATATAACTAGTTTACGGTATACACCCACAGAAAATTCTAGAACACCAAATCTAGTGTGTGATGCTGAACATGCACTTGTCAACTACGTCATAGTTGTAGAGTTACCTGTATTGACGGTATATTCACAATTAAATTAGATGGTTGTTCACGTTTTGTGAGTGATGCTTATTTGATTCACTATATAATAACAGATTTACGGAATGTGGTTGTTTATAAAACGATACAATATATTTTCGTAAATATCCGAATACCACGTTATAACAACAAATTGGCGAGACAAGTTGCTATAGTCAATTTCAATAGTTTTTGGTGAATTTTTAACAAACATAATCATGGTTGATGCGTGTGTATATTACGTAACTATCATTGTGCAATTGAAGAATGGTCCAATTATCAGATCAGAAAATCTGAGCTGAATAATTCAAAGAAATCAATACCATCAAAGAAAGTGACCGATTCCAGAGAAAAGTATCGGTTACAGAAAATAAAAAAAGCATACTTAGAGCAAAACATATTTTGTAAACTGCTATTGCAAATCAGACCTTGGACCTTGGCTGGGAATGTGTAGCTTTAGTCGAGGTGCAATGTCGGGATTGACGAAGATACAATCGCTCGGTGATCCCGCCGTTCTGTATTCGAAATGTCAACAAACATATCATTCTGACAAAATATCAAATAAAATTAAAATCAAATATAAAACTTATCAGAAGAAAACCGATCGGCCAGCTCACTGACAAGTTTTATTGGTGCCATAACAAGAACCTAATTTGCATAATTAATCAATTTTAAACTTTCACACTGATATCTCAAGTACTAATCATCACATTTCAATGAAACGTTGTACATGGATGATGTACGACAATAGACAGGCCTGATTAATTGTGGGTTAAAATCTGTACATATTAATTATCTAATTTTCATAATTAACCAATTTCAAGCTATCACACTGATATCTAAATTATTCCATTTCAATGAAAAGATGCTCTAGGACAATGTACAAACCTGATTAGTTTGGGGTTAATATCTGTTCATATTAACACCCTAATTAGCATAATAATTCATCATTTTTTGGTACATAGATGGTCTGTTACATTACGCAGACCTCATTAGTTTTACACTCAAATCTGTTCATATTAATTTTTTGATTTGCATATTTTAATTTTCAGCTTTTCAGTAATTTCGAATATTGTTAATGTGTCTCCAATACTCTCAGTACATGGAAGTTCTTTCTAAGCTTTCTTTGATTATAAGAAATGTTGCTGCAAAACGATTCTACAGCAAGGTAGGTCACATATAATGTACGTTTTAAGGAATCTATGCACTTCATCCGGTTTTTTAAGAACTAATCTGTTTCTGTGCTTTTTCCTCATAGTTATTATATTGAAAAAAAAATCGATTGCGTCATTTTGTATAGTTACAGTGATAAACTGAGTCACTGTCTGGTTTATTAATTGGTTGATTCCTGCGTGATTGATAAATGACGGCTACGACATATGTTGGGTATTGCTGTCTTGTGAAGTATAACTTCTTTTCTTCAGCATTTACTGATGGCGATACGTCCGAGCATATCAAATCCGATAATATTTTAACCAACGATAACCAAGAAGAAGCCGCTCCATCACTTGCATCTACATTATCCGGTATAGAACTGTATTGCAAGATTCAGGTAATATTACATTTGAAAAAGAAAAATATGGAATACCATTGTTACAGTTTATGTAAGAATGATTTGACTCTCATAGTGTGTTAAAACAAAAGTTGCAATGACCGCTATTAAGTGTGCCACTATCATCGCGTCTATGAATTTCTGGTAAACAGACACACGAGTTGTACATATCACATGGAACTCAAATCAAAAAAATTCCAGAATTCAATCATCTGGACATACAAATCAAATAACAGAGCTTACATTTTCATTTTTAAGATCGAATAATGTGTCATACTATATTGTAACATCATCAATCTCACATGATAGCAGATACACAGAAGCCACGTTATCTAGAAGACTGACTGTGCGAAGTTGTCCAGGAAGTACTTTTCATTTTTACAATTATAGAAGTAATTATATGTAACATATACGAACCGGATGCTCCATACATCTAAATCCGTGGCCAATTGTATACGGGCTTTGCACACTCGACCCATATCTGATGTGCGATGTTACGCTGTATTATCATTCTGAATGAATACTCTCAGTTGCATTCATGCGATGTGGGATTATGGTTTCGCAAGATCTGTATACAATATTATGCTGGCTAATTCCGTACAATCATAGTGCTGATGGAGCTATGGGGCCCAGCGGTAGGGTAATAGAACTAACATACCGATAATATCGCTAATGGAGAGTTACACACAACAGCTAGGAACAATAATTATTAAATTTTACTAAAAAGTGACTGATGAAACATCGAAGAAAACTTTCTTTATAATTCACAGCCTGCCAACCTTCTAGATAATTATATATGTTCAAATGGTCAAACATGAGTACAAGTGTTTACGAAGTTAATTAATGTTAATTTCATTAACGTCATTTAATTTGCATTGATTAATATTCAGAATAATCCCCTGTAAAAAGAGACAGGTTTTTAGTACTGCTAACTGCAGATGCCGATTATGTCATCAAATATAATAATTGTTATTACCTGAGTAACTGAATTCCTACAATATTTGTTTTGCAATAATTATTAAGTTTAATGAGCTCCATTGTTCACGCACAATTGGAAACTACCAAAAATGTACATTAAATCATGCATTCAAATTCCGAAATACCTGGACCACATATTATAAATCAGTCGTATAAGTTCGACCATACTGTACTTTCTGCAACAACAATGCCATTCTACTACAATAGTAATTTCATTATTGAGCATTGAGTAATTATATGATGATACATAACGTCGTCATTTGATTAATACATTGCCGATCATTACTCACTAATTTCTTTTTCAGTACTCTTCTGAAGAAGATGAATCAAACATCCACATGTCGTCAATTTCTCCTTTTGATAAAAGAAGAAAACTTAGTCTAATCGACAGTCTGATCACTAAGGAAGATGCTGCATTTTATAATTTCATGTACAAGAGATTGGCTTTCATCATCTAGCCAGTGCGTTGAAACCAGCAACAGAGTCAATACATATTTGAAGTTTATATTCCTTCCAAGGGATATATGTCAACTAAAACCGAGCTTAACAGGGGCGGATACAGGATTTTGTTATGGGGGGTTCCAAACTTGAAAATCGCCAGACTAAGTTAATGATTTTTTTTTATATTATACAAAAAAAAATTGAATATATTTTTAAACGGGGGGTGGGGGTGGGGGGTCCGGACTGTCGCTGTCTTCGATCTAGGTGCATGTTCGGAGTTCCGATGTTCCATAGCACGCTATAACCAGGTTACGACATATAACCACGGCAATTCTAGAACACCAATTCGAAAATTCAAGACAGCCGTAGTACAAATATGTAGTGGCCGTGGACATGTCTACTACGCCACGGGCGGGAGAGATTTGTATGACGTTTATTCAAAGTAGATGCACCTGAGTGTTGTTTTTTTCACGTTTTCTGAGTGATGTTTATTTCATAAACAAATAAACAAGTTTAGAAGAACGAGATTAAACGCACGGCCGAGGCAATTGGTCTCATGGTCAAGGACGTATAGTGTATGTTGTTGTAGCCTAAACAAGAAACAAATGCAACGCCAATGTTCATTTAGTGTGTTCATTTCATGTTTAATTTTTCTTGAAATAAAGCGAAGTTAAAATGTTGTTAGTCTAACTAGGAAGCTTTTTACAGCTCCCTAGTATAACAGATAATCATTATTGAAACCTACAGTCTACATGCATATGTGTATGTACTGTTGATATGATGAATTCTTTGTACGTCAATTTTCTCAATAGAGTAATCTCAATTTGTTTGTATGCTGCCCTCTATGTTTTATTAGTATCTCTGCTGTGTATTTTCGTTTTCCACTGGTCAGCTAACGCCTATGAAGTATAGGAAATATGTGAGTCCGGCTATTCAAATAGTTTCCCCTCTGATAAGCTA